ACTATGATTAAAATATATGTCACCCTGGGAAGGATATAGGCACTAAAGTCAGATAGGCCTGGGTTGGAATCTTGTCTCTTCTATCTGTGAACCCGACGACCTGGGGCAAGATTCCTGTAAACGTTTAGAGTCTCAGATTCAGTGTCTGTAAAAGACAGAGGAAAATTATCCCTTTGACGTGTTTCTTCCTTCATAAGGTCTATAGGGCTTGCTTTGTTCATTCATTCAGGAGGGTCCAGTCTGGGAGGTGTCAGACTGGAGTCCTGTTTCCCCGTCACCTGAGTGTGGCCAGGGTGTTGTGAGGGACCCGGATATCGCAGGTCCCTGTCCTTGGGTAACTGGGGATGTGGACATAGAGATTCTTACCCACCCCTGAAATAGTGCTGAAGAACTTGGGAGCCAGAGAGGCGGGAAGGAGAGGGACGGTATAGGCCTACCCACCTGCCAGCCCTTCCCTCTCCCTCAGGAGACCGCCAGCTGGAGGGTTGTCCTTCCTTCCTCCTGACACAGCCGGCGAGATAAGTGTCACTTGACCTCAGGGCACATTCCAGAATGAGGCCACAGCCAAGAATAGGACCCAGGAACCCTGCCGCCCATCCCGCCTATATTAATCACACATTCCCAGAGCGGGAGAGAGACTTCAGACTCCTTGAGGAAGTGGGAGGAGGAGGACGAGACGGCATCAGGAAGTAGAGTTGGGGAAAAGCAGGGAACACCCCGGAGAAACCCCTCCACAGCCTGCGGCCTCCCAGGGCACCTTGTGCCCTTGGTCCCAGGACCATCAGTTCATCCAGAGAGTCCCTTGTCAGCTGTGGGGAATGGGCTCCCGCAGACCTCTGGGGCCCCCGCCCCCCAGCAGTACTTCCGGCCTGGGTGGCGCACGTGCAGAAGCAGACAGACAACGGAAGGGTCTTGCTGCGGCCAGGGGACAGCAGAGGCTCCCCGGAGGATCTGGGTCCAGGAGGATGAGTAGGCATAAGGCTGATGTCTCCCTCAGGAATGTAGGCCATGACTGCTTCTGTGTGTGATCAAGATATCATGTCACAGGACAAGGTCAGAAGCCAGCCCCGGGGAGGCTGATGGGAGGCAGGCTCTTGGGAGAGGTTTGGGGCCCTGATGGGACTCCACACTGCCCAGCCCGGAGCGGGGTGTACGGGCGGGCTGTCTGGGCACACGTGCATGTGTGCACACATGCGTGTCACACACTGAGAGAAGCCAACCGCCTGTATTCAAGTCTTGGCTCTGCCACGTGGCCGCTGGGTGATCTCAGGTAAGTTTCACGTCCCCTCCAGCCTCAGTTTCCCCAAACACAGAATAGCGTTCTGTCCTGTAGAGTCCTGATGGAGACAAGAGATGACGACTGGTGCCTGTCGCATGGTGAGAAGCCGCTCAGTGTTGATGTTCCAACAGTAGAGTTGGACACTGGGCACTCCGCCCCCCCAACCCCCCGCCTGAGGAAATCACCATGCGGCTGTGTGTTTGTTCTCCTCCTTTCTTCCTCAGGTTCCGCCCCTGGTCCCAGATCTCTGGTCCCGCTGTCCAGGGGGTGACATCAGACTATGGAGCAGCTGGGCAGACAATGGAGCAGAGTGTCCTAGGAGGCTGGAGGTGCTGGGGGAGGCTGAGGGTGGAAAAAGCCAAGCTGTCCTGCCCCAGAGGCCTCTGGCCGGCCCGGAGACAGCCGGCGCCAGAGCAGGCCTCTGAAGGGGCCAACAGAGATGGACTGGAGCAGGAGGAGGACGGGGGGCGGGGGCAGACAACAGATGCAAGGAGGGAAGGAGTGAGTGTCCAGTGTAGACAGGAAGGCAGGTTGAGTCTGGCCTCAGACCTATAGGGGGGGCTCCATCCCCCTGTGTCCTGGGGCCCAGACTGGGGCCACACCTCCCAAACTTGATGGGCAGCCTCCCCAAGTTCCCAGGCAACCAGGCCCTGTGAATTCGGTCCAACCTCTACAGAACACCTACCAGAGGTCAGTGACTGTGAAACACCGGGGTAACACAGACCAGACACACGTGGTTTCAAGGACCAAGAAATACATACCATGTAGTAGGTCCAACATTATGATAAGTGCCCATTCCCTAAGTGCCTGTATTTTCTGACCCCCCCCCCAGACATGTGGGGTGATCCATCTCAATGTGCTTTGAGCAACAGAATAAAATATCTGCAACCGTGTATGTTCATGGAGTCTGTGAGATCCCGGACCCAGAAGGAGGAGGCGAGGGGTTTGGGTCCTGGGGGCCCGCTGTCGGCCAGCTGGTTGCTGAGGGCCGGGAGGGGCCGCTGGGACAGCCCTCTGTGCCAGGCTCTGTCTCCTAGGCTTTTCAGTTTGGCAAGGTTAATAGGGCCACGTTCCCCAAATCTCCAGGAAGTGCACTTCCTACCCTCTGTTTTACAGGTGAGGACACAGAGGCGCAGAGAGACACCGGGGAAGTGTCGGAGACCAGATGCAGACCAAGGTGGGTCTGATGGCACCGGACGGGCTTTCTCACTCTGCCAGGCTGGGGCTGGAGTGGGAGGGACGGGGTCTGGGGCTGTAAGTGTGCTGCGAGCTGACGAGAAGGAGTCCTGCCATTGGTGTCCCCTGATGTCACACTTCCACCAGGCAGCCACAGGGCTTAGGCCCCATGGCCGTGCAAGAAGGGAGGTGGCAGGAGCTAGCATGTGGACGGACACTTGACCCGTCAGGGGCAAAAGGATGTCCCCACGCCTCTGAGGTGGGTGAGGCGCTGAGTCTCAGCTCCCTGGTTCCCTGACCCAAGCAGGGAGGGCCGGTGGCCAAGTGCTCTGCTCAGCATTTCCCCAAAGGTGACTTGAGAAGCTCCCATTCCTCTGGCCCCCCAGGAGGAGCTTGTCTTCCCGATCCAGCCCCCTCCTTCTTGCAGGAACTATCTCTAAGGACAGATTGGCTGGATGGGCTGGGCTGGGCGGGGCTGGCTGTGCATTCCTCCCTGGGGTGTGGCCCTGGAAGACCCAGGGAAGTGGACAGGGGACAGGTGTCTCTTGAGCTTGGCTGGCTTGCACCCTGAGGGACAGGCAAGCTGTGCGGCATGCCACCCTGGTCACAGGCTCCCAAACACATCTCCGGAGTCATCCCCAACTCCTGAGACCAAAGGTGCTGCGGTCCCATCCTGGGAACCGAACCATGTGCTCTGAGTGCACATAGGGCTTTGGGACCAGGCCTCACCCAGAGGCCCCCTAGGGAACTATAGCTGGGTGGCCCACCTCTTTCCCATTGTGCCATCAGTGGCAGGGACTGGAGTCTGCCCCTGGCCGGCCATGCTATCCTGATGGGTAGGGGGCCTGAGATACAAGTTAGAACATGTGGGCCTAAGTCCCCCATCTTCCTGCCTCTGTATTCTTGGGGATGTTACCTCACCTCTCTGGCCTCAGCTTTCCTGAGCTGTGGGGAGCACCACAGTTAAGGAGCCTCGGAGCTGCAAAGTGGGATGAATGTTTGTGTCCTTCCATCACCCAGATGTGGTCCTGTTGGCCAGACTTCCCTCCTGGGCACCAGAGCAAATGACAGTAAACCCCTCACCCCCGCACACCTACATTAACCCAAACAAATCACACAAGAAGGGCTGTTGATACTATGAACTTTTAATTGGTATCTTCCTCCCTACATTTGAGGAAGAAACAAGGATGTCCCACAATGACCTTCTTCAGCTTTGGAGGGGCCTGGACAGAAGGAAAGGCTGAGGAGGGAATGGGGGGGCGCAGATGTAGAGCTGACAGTGACTTTCCCAAGTCCTTTATCTAGTGGGTGTGTGTAGCGGGGGGGTGGCTGCACCTGCACAGGAAGTCCATAAACAAGAAGTCACCAGCAAGGTGCCACATCCCCAAACCTGCCCTCCCACATCTCACCCAGAGCTTCCCTCAGGTCCCTGCAGCTCCCAAAGCCACCACCAGATGGAAGCATCGAGCAACATTCCTTTTCCTTCCCAAGCCTGACTCCCCTCCTCCCTCCCTCCCTCCTTTCACCCCGTTCCCCACCCCAACCCCGACTTTCCTTTTATCTCCCTTCCCACCAAAACAGATCCTGGGGCTTCTATCTGCTTTCTGTCCAAAGAGGCCAGTGGGAGATGAAAGCTCACTGTCCATCAGATGGGACCATTTGACAGCTGGGAAGACCAGCCATGGGTCTGCTTCTGGGGGCCAGGGTTGGGGAATGGGGGTCCGGGGGATGGGACCCTGGGATCTGGACACTCACATTCAGTCACTAGGAGATGGGCAGTGACTAACTCTGTGTCCTAGCGCCTGGCACCCAGTAATTGTTCAGAAAATGCCCACTGAGTTGGACTGAACAGAGCTAAATCAATACATCAACAATCAAAACAATCAAAAAACCAACCAATAAAGTCAAGGAGAAACACGAAGAATGTGTATTCTGCTGGTGCCATGGTGGCCTCAGAGACCACAGGGCACCCCTGACTGAAGCACAGGCTGACCACCACCTCAGGGTAAGGTGTGTGCTGGGTCAGACCATGCCCCACCCCCGCTTCCTACAAGCCCTAACATGAAGGTGTTTCTGTTCCTAATGATCTAGGGGGCTCTGGGGAATTTGTCCAAAGAGTCCCTGGGCCCTCCTTTCTCTCCCCACCTACCCCTTTTGCAAACAGATTCATTCCATGATTCCCATGACCCCGCAGACGCCATCTCTGGCTGCCTGGCTGGGAGCCAGCTGGGGGCTTGGAGAGCCACCGGAAGGGACTGGACGGCAAAGAGAAAGGGTCGCAATGCCGGAGCCAACTAGTCATCAGGAATGGTTTGCAGGTGCCTCTTGGCTTTTCCTCTTGTCCCCCCACAGCTACAGGAGATACAGACCCCTTCTCGAGCCTAAGACTAGAAATTGTTCTAAGAATCTCTGGTGGATTGTTCCCCGCTGGCCTCCGACTGTCCAGCCTGACCTTGCCCAGTCTGCAGACTGAGGGGCGTGGGGGGTGGGGAGGTGGACGAGGGCCAGGGAGGGGATCGGGGAGGGGCAGAGGGGGAGTGGGGCTTCAGTGCAAGCCCAGGAACTCCTTGAGGACATCGCAGGTCTTCTTGTGTAGGACCTCGCGCAGCTTCCTGACCCGCCGGCTGCTGGAGGCGCCCACGAAACTCTCTGGCCGCAGCACGGCCATGCCGCCGTCCACCTCGCCCATGATGATGAGCGGCGTCTCTCCCGCCGTCACGTTGGGGCAGGGGCAGCTCCAGTCCACGTGGAGCAGGGTGACCTCCAGCGGCTCCCGGCCCAGGAACTTGAGGCCCATCTTCTCATCCTTGAGCACCTCGTCCACGGTCACCAGGGCGCGCCCCGCGTCGGGCTCCTCGGTCAGCTCGGACACGCGGCCCAGGATGACGAAGTCGCTCCGACAGAAGCTGGTGACGAGCTTCTGCCGCGGCTTGCAGGCCCGGCAGCGCTGGTGGCCCCGAGGGAAGGGGCAGGACTCCTCGCAGGCCTCCCGGCTCTCGAAGTTGTTGCTGTTGCCCTCGCAGCCGCCGTAGACGAAGGACTGGCACTGTCCGGTCTGGCTGTTGTAGGCCCAGCGGGGCGCGTAGGCCTTGCAGGGGCCCTGCAGGGCGGGCAGGCTGCACACGGCCAGCGGCCCGCTCATGCAGGCCAGCATGCAGGCCTCATAGGTCTCAAAGTGGTTGCGGTTGCGGTGGCAGTGGCCGAAGGTGAAGGTGAGGCAGTTGTTGGCTTGCGCGTCGAAGTGCCAGCGGGTCTGCTCCTCCCCGCAGTCCTCGCTGTCGGGGGGCTCCAGGCACTCGGCGGCGGGGAAAGCCGTGCCGTTGGGGCTGCTCTCCGACGCGGCCACCACCTGACCCGCGCGGACCACAGACAGCGGGAAGTCGGCGCGCAGGACCCCGGCGGTGTTGCGGGCCGTGCAGGTGTAGATGCCAGCGTCCTGGGGCTGGGCGTTGTAGATGACCAGCTGGGCGATGTTGGTGACCACCACGTTGCCGCGCACGTGGTTGGGCCGCATGACCACGTTCTCCCGGTCTTCCAGCTGCTTCTCCCAGGTGATCTCCGGCCGGGGCCGGCCCACCGCGTCGCAGAGGAAGCTCACAGTCTCGCCCACAGTGACCGACTGGTGCACAGGGTGGTTGAGCAGAGCCGGGGCCACCGTATCCAGCCCCGGGGTCTCCGGGGAGGCCGTGGTGGGGCGCACGGTGGTCTCGGGCGGCGGGGGACTGGTGTGGGGCCAGGTGAAGTGATAGCGGCAGGTGACGACAGCCAGCGTGATGCCCTTGGAGCAGGCCTCGGCATCCATGTAACAACGATTATAGTACGTGAGGCCGTCAGACGCGCACGTGAAGCTGGGCTCCTTCTCACAACGGTCTTTGCATTTACACACGGGCTGGCCGTCCCAGATGTCGCACTCGGAGCCCTGCTGCAGACACATGAAGTGGTCGCAGGTGGCCTCCTTGGGCATGCCTACCGGGCCTTTCTTGCCCTTCACGTCCATGTACCTGGCAGCCACGCAGCTCTTGGTGCCACACACATTGGGGCAGCACTTCTCATAGGTCTCGCACTCCTGCGGGGAGCCAGATGGAGAGGTCTGAGCAAGGGGGAGCAGGACATAGACCCAGGTTTCCCCTCCACCTCTCACCCCCCACCCCTGGTGTCTGTGGAAGGAACGGTCACGGGCTCACCGCCTGTGGCCAGCCACCCATTCGGATGATGACAGGAGCTGGCAGATACGCAGCCTCTGCTATTTGCCGGGCCTTCTTCTGAGAACGTTTGTACCTGTCAGCATCTCTCCTGCTCACGGCAGGCCCCAGGAGGTGGGCACAGCCATCAGCCTCACTTCACAGGTAGTGATCACAGAGGCACAGAGACATGCAGTAACTTGCCCAAGGTCACACAGCTGGTAGTGTGAGAGGAGGTAGGCCATGCACCTCCCAGAGGGGACATTTCTCTGACTACCATTTTACAGAAGAAAATGCAGAGACTCAAGAGAAGAGACACCCAAGAGCTGTCCCAAGAGCTGGCAAGGGACAGAAAAGGGCTCTGAGCTCCAGGTGGATGGGATTCTGAAAGGAGATCTCTTCTTCCACGTCTTCATAGGGTTGCCACAAAGGAGGTCCAGCAGGGAACAAAGGAGTCTGCCTTTCTCTCTTTTCTCCCCTGGGGTCGGGATGCCCTGGCCGAATTGAAGAGCTCACAGCAAACCCTAAGAAGGGAACACTGGACAGCTCTAGGACAGAAGTTTGAGGCCGGCCTCACACGCGTCACAGAGCGGGCCCACGCTTGTTCAGAGCCAAGGGGAAGGGCAGGCAGGACAGGCCCAGGACGCCAGGTCCTACCATGGAGGGCTGTGCCAGGCCCAGGGGCTCTGCTCTGACGTGTGCGGCATTTCATGGGGGGCCAACAACAAGGAAAACAGCCCCTTGGGTGGCAAAGGTCGGCCAAGCCGTCAGCGAGGACTTGCTAGGGCTGTAATTCCCCTTGATTCTCTGTGGGGCCATGTAAAGCATTAGTTTAATTCCTCGAAATTAGCAACATGCTCTGGGACCGGCACAAACAAGGACTTCACGTGGTGTTTTCGACAATAACACCTCGTCCCCACTGGGCAGGCGGGCAACGGTCCTAATCCTGCGTCCTGGTAGTAGCTCTGGGAATTGCTCCCCACTCGAGCTGGCCTTTTGTGGCTCTGACTTTTATATCCCAGCCTCTTGGACATTCCACATCAGCTAAGAGCAGGGAAATATGCCCCACAGGAGCCGTGTGAAACCTGCCCGCCCAGCTTGTTTACTGTGTTCCCCCTCTCGGCCCAGAATGGGGACTTTGTTTTGCCGTCCTTGCTTGGCATAAGCTTCTAGGCCACCCCAGGGCAGGCTTTGGGACAGGGATGGGCAGATCTCAGAGCTGGGGTCTGAGGCCGAGAGACCCAGAGCGGGATGGAGGGCAGGAGGGACGGGGAGCAGACAGGAGAACCTACTCTTCGGCCTGAGGGTCATAAAATTCCTTAAAAGACAAGCCCAGGAAGCTTCTTTAGGACCCCGAGGTCCATGAAAGGTTGGGTCGCCAGAGTCGGGGTTGGGCGGATGGGGGGAAGGATTCTCTGGGCACAGGAAACCTAGAAGGAATCCTTATAAGTTTTTGCTTGAGGGCCCAGACTGTACCCCTAGGCAAATGAGTCCTTAGCCTTTTCCTCAAGACACACAGCATCTGCCAGGCTCACCGTCCCTTACCCTACCTGGTTTATCCTGCCAGCCTGCGCCAGGGGAACAGACTTCCCTGCAAATGTAGCCAAAGAACCTCATGACCTCAGCGGAGTGGGAGCGCTCTGCCCCCATCTTCCCTTTCCTGAGCACCACCACTGCTCACTGGCAGCATCTGGCCGGAGAGGTCTGACAGTTGTCCCCTGGACACCGTGGGGCCAGAGACCACTCACTGCGGGGCAGTCCTGGGCTTTTCCGTAGAGTACATGTGTTTGGCAAATGGAGCATCTCTCGTATTCCTTGGTGCTGCCTGGCCCGGATACCTAGGAACTGGCCGAGCCGACAGCAAGTGCCTGTGTCCAGGCAGGAGCTGGGTACCAGCAGGCTCGTCTTCACTGCCCATGGGGAGCGGCTGGAACGACCCTGGGATTCGGGAGCTGGGAGAGACCTGCTCCAGCACCAGGCCTGCTCGGCTTGCCGCAGCCTGCTCTGATGAGAGCAGAAGGGAGGATGGAGGAATCTGGCAGGTTGAAACTTAGCCCACTTCCCTCCCAGGGACAACCGGAGAGTCTGTTCCCACCCACTCTCCCCATCAGCCTGGCCTGATCTCAGGGTCAGGGTGCGAACCCCTAGGTGGGGGGGTGGCCTGGAGGCCTCCGCTTTGCCAGAGAGACGCAGGTGCCAAGCCTACCCTCCCATCCCTGGCAATGGGACCACATGCTGCTCGCCGAGATGCCCTGAGTGTCTGCTCTCACCTGTCGCGGCGGGGCTGTCCCCGTGGTGTGCCTGGCTTAGTGCTGGCTGGGAGAAGCTCTCAGCAAACATGAGACCAGGAATCCCAGGATTCCATGTCCCTGATGAACTTGGATGTCACACCCACCTCTTCGTCTGGACCTTGGACTTGGACAGACATCACGCCCTATTTCTGTGGCCTGGGGCCCAACTTCCTTCCCGTTTCCCAGATCCTGCAGGGGGGCTCCTGAGTCTCCCCACCCCAAGGCTCCCACGTGCCCTCACTGACACACTCACGTGGTCCATGTCAGGCTTCTGGACTCCCACTCACCTGGTCCGTCTCACACTCCCGCCTGCAGGTGCTCTGGGCATCCACCCAGAGGTTGGGGTTCATGTCGTTGGGGCAGATGCCAGCATGGGAATAGCGGATGGGCGGTAGTGCCAGGCCCCTCGGGGGCGCCCCAAACAGCAGCAGGAGCACCGCCGCCTGCGCGCAGCGGGACCAGAGCCGGCCGCACCCCGGGGCCCACATGATGTGGTCTGCGGTGCCTCGAGACCTCCCCTGCGACAAGGCCAGGGGCTGGGGCCCACCAGGGCCTTCCCCTTCTCTGGGCTGCAGACACCTGCCCTCCCCACCCCAGCGGGCTTCCTCTCGGCCGCCGGGGCCCCCTCCACCAAGTCAGCGCAGCCCCGCTGGGCTGTGCGGCTTCAGATAAAGGGAAGATCTTTGCAAGGAAACTCCCTCTCCTGAGTGTGCAGGGAGAAGAGCGGCAGCAGGGCCCGAGCCTGGATTTATATCCTGGGCGCGCCACCCGAGTGGGAGCGAGCTAACCTCATGCCTGTCACAGGCAGGCTGCTGGCTCCTCTGTCCCGTGGCTGATCACAGACTTGTTACAGAAGGGGAAAAAAAAAAAGCTGGAAGCGGTTTAGCTGCGTATCTGGCACGGTGGGACACCTGCTTGTCTCTGACTCCAGGAGGCCTTTAACCCCTTCAAGGGCCAGAAATGGCATGTGCTGGGGCGGGGGGGGGGGGCTGGCTGCAGGACACGCAAGCTCCCTGTAAAGGGGCGTTTGTTTCCCTCTCCCCCACCTCCTCGGGCCAGGCCCCCTCCTCCCCGTGACTACCTCTGAAGAACACACAATCGCCTGTTGCACGGAGGGACCTGCCGCTGCAGGGTTAGCATCGCCTGGCCCGATAGTACATTTGAGAGCAAATGACGTGGAAAAACAACAAGTTCACGGCCATTCCAGGGCGGGCCGGAGCCTCAGCGCTGCGCCGTGGCCTCCCACCCCCGCACCCGGTCCCTCTGCGGGGGTGTGTGCGCACGGACAGCTCCCTATCTCTCGGTCCCCGGCCCGTTCGCGTCTCAAGTTCCCACTTTGGTGAATTTTCCCCAAATCATTCCAGAGACACATACCAGATATGCTCCGGCTCCCCCAGCTGCCGGGATGTATCACATTCCTCGCTCCTCGATCGACACACTCGTCGGCTCCCAGAAAACCCACGGGGTAAGTGTCCCAGGACGGTGCTGGGCGGCGGCTGCCCTGGAGAACGACCCCTTGGTGGTGCCTGAGCTCTGTCGTGCGCCAAGCACCTCAGCCGTCCCCTGGGTTCCCCCCGACTTCACAAAGGAGAAGGTTCAGGGCCAGAGAGGACCAGTGACTTGCCCGAGGTCAGCCACTGCGGACAGGGATAGTCGTCCCTCATATTTACTGGGCTCTTCGTGTGAGCCGGGCTCTCTCCAGGCATCACGGCACTCCATCCTCATGACAAATGACCTTTATTGCGGACTGGGGGGAAAGGAGCCCAGAGAGGCTAAGCAACTCACCCCCCCCCAGCCCCGTCGCACAGCAGTGGGTTGCCACCGGTAACACAGGAAATGCCAGCTTGCAGGGTGCAAGCACGGGCCTTTGGGACGCCCCTCCTGCCCACCTGGGTGTCAGCACTGCTGTCAAGGTACAGCTTCAACTCCGGTTTTTACAGGCGGGACAAGAAGTTTGTGGAAACATCAGATGCCGTGTGGTGGGGTGGGGGAATGGTCAGGGAAAGAGGCGGAGGCTCCCGTTGGAGGGGGTGGGAGCTATTTCTCCCCCCTATGGCAGAAAATGTCAGGTACCTCAAACAGCACCGAAAAGTGAGCTGGCTGAACGTATTTGTGTGGCCACACGACCCCCGGAGGGTGTGAGCGAGTGGGGACACCGATCCCTGCCAGAGACGGGTACCTTGCAAAGGCCAAACCACAGAGGGTTTGAGGAGCAGTAACCGAGCTGCTGTGTCCCAGGGATAGTAGATGGGGTGGCCCCAGCCCACATCAGAGCCAGAAGAGACCTAGAAAGTCCCCAGCAGTGCTCTCATTTCATAGGGGGGAGAAACTGAGTCCTGAACGCAGGCCCCTCCTCTTCCAGGTCCACTCTCCCCTTGAGGACTAGGGTTCGCCATCACATTTGACGGTAAAAAGGCAGCACAAGGCTTCTCTCGGCCCTGCAGACTACCCCCCACCCCAGGGGTGGTGTGCCGCCTTCTCTCCGCCTCTGCCAATTTTTCCCCATCGTGCGGGTCATTCTGCGAGATCTGTCTTTTCTGCTTATGTCAAAGAGCTAATGAAGGGTGTCAGATCCTAATCCCCTAAATTATTGGAATAAACTTCCCTCCGAGGCCGGGGCCCGGTAATGAAGCCAGACAGCGGGCGACGCTGGCTGCTTTGAATTCCCTGTAATTTCATAAACCCGTGTTCCAGCTGCTCAGAGCAGAGCCTCAGCCCCACGCTTGACGGATGCAGCTTGTGCCGCCTTCTTTGAAATCACAAAGGGGAATGGATGGTGACACATTTCTAAGCAGGACTTAGAAAAATTGTCACAGCCCTGTTACGTGAGGACAAGTGTCCAGGGAGAGGAGGGCTGATCTCTGGGGAGTCACCTGAGACCACTGGAGGTGATGGGATGGCTGGGGGCAGGCAGAGCAGAGGTAGCAGGCAGGGGTGGGCACAGAGGCAGGGGGAGCTCGTCCACCCCACCGCTCCTCGCTTGCACGCTCTCTCTCTCTCTCTCTGTCATCGGGGTTGACTGAGAAAGGCCTCCATCCACCCCGCTCAGCCCTGTCAAGAGCCACCAGCCTCTTTCCCACCCAGGGCCCCATTTCTGGCCAATTCCACTCCGATTCACAACAGCATCGGGGAAGAAGGGGCCTAGAACATCCCGGCTCTCGCTCTCAGCGCTTCCAAGACTCCCACCAAAACACAGCTCAGAATAATAAATAACATCTGATCAGGGCTCGGAGCCCACACAGCGTTTTCCCCTACATCATCCCGCTGACCCTCCCGCCAGCCCTGGGAGGGAGCCGGGGAGATGTGGCTGGGACCTCCCCTGCACAAAGAGGAAACCGAGTCACGGAGAGGCCAGCTGGGCCTGCTCAGAGCCCTGCGGCTCACACCCGCCCACCCCCACCACCCCAGATGCCAGTCCTGTGCTCGTCACACAAACCACTGTTGCTTCCAGGACCTCCAGAAAGGCCCCCGCCCGCCACCCCGCCAGCCCAGCGTGTTTCTAAGCTGTTCTCAGAGCACTTTGAAGTCTCCTGGGCCCCTCCCCCAGTTCCTCAGATCTGGCTGCCCTGCCTCGGTCTTCCCTGGAGGGTGGCAGACACCTCACCCTCACCACACCCCTGGTGCTGAAGGGGGTCTCTGCGGCCCCCCCAGGCCTCCCTCCCGCCAGCATGAGCATCAGGGACATAGACCCAGGGCTGAGTCACCGGAGCAGGTGACCTGACCTTGGGGCTGTCACCTGCCTTTCCCCCTCCCCAGGGACATCGGGCACAGTGTGGTCACAAGAGGGCCAGGCTCTGCCTTCGCCTCCAAAGAGCTCCCTCCAGCTCCCGCCGCTATGCAGGGAGCATGGCCCCTTCACACCCTCCAGGGTGGGTTCAAGGCCAGCTCTAGATGCAGTTGCAGGAGGTGACCCCAGACGGTGGACTCTGCGTGACCCTTGACCTCAGGTTCACCCTTCACATAACAGCTTCCCAGTCACTGGGGCCTGGACAGGACAACATAGCTGACATCGTTTTCCCAGTCAGCCAGGCCTCTCCCCTCTGGAGACTAGCCGCACGTGTGGAGGGGACGACGGTGGTGCCACGCCAGCCTCACGCACGGACCAGACCTCTTACCTTCCTTACTGGATGGTTTTTAAGGCACCTACTATGTGCTCGGTACTCTGGGTACACAGAGGAGACGACGGTCCTTGTCCCAGAGAAAGCACAGCATGCAAACAAATGATCAGGTTAGTGAAGGCCGTCTTGGAGGGGCCCATGAGGGCTGGGAGGCCAGGCAGGGGGAGGGAGGCCCAGCGCTGCAGGCGTGAGGTGGGGTGCGTCTTGAAGCCTGAGCAGGAGTCTGCGAGACGGAGCCCAGCAGGCGCTTTCGTTCACTCCCCCCTCGGAAAGACCTGGCCCACGGTGCAGGCTTCTTGGCCAAGTCCTTCCCTCTGCAGAGCCCAGGCCTCCAGAAAGGGGAGGTGAGAGGAAAGTCAGTAGGATTGGGAGACGGGGTGGGGGTGGGAGCTGCGGGTCCTGCTTCTGCCTGGGGTGGCCCCAGCAAAGTCAGACCAGCAGCCCGTGCTGGTCCACCCTGCATGGGCCCCCAGACCCGAGGCAGCCACACGTTCTCCCAAACAGCTGGGGGAGGCCAACCCTCTGAGAGCCCCCTTGCCCTGATCCTCGATTTCAACGGATTGGGGAGGAGGAAGAATGTAAGGAGAAAGAATGGGGGGGGGGGGCTAGAGAGGAGGAAGGCCCCAGCAAGGGAGCTCAGATGGGTTCTCAGAAGGCCCAGGCTGCCTCGGCTAAAGGCAGTGATCAGTCAGACCCCAACCAGGGAATTCAATAAAGCGGGCAGCTCATTACCCAGCTGGGGACCCCCTGCCTGAGCGGCCGAAGGCCTGGGTTACATTACAGGGCTGTGTGAACTCTCCCCTCCGAGTGAGACTGCACCGGGTTTTGGAATAATTACGGGGCCTCAGCAGATGGTGGAGGCGGACGGGGCGGCCTTCAGCTGTGGGACACGTGACTTGCCGGCATCTGTGCAGAGCGGGACACGGGAGGGTCCCCATTGGGCCTTGGGGGAGGCAACACTGAATCGAGATCTGAGAATTACGGGGTTGGCCGTGGTGAGGCCTGGCCCCACCCCCTGGGCCAACCAGGCCTCCTTAGACCCACCCCCCACCCCCGCCCGGGCCTGCGGGGGGCGCCCTGCTGGTGGCGCCAAGTCCCTGGGAGCTGGTTGGCGTCTGTCTGAACGGATATGTGTGTCATGAAAGCAAGAAGAGGAGACACAACTTGTGGGCACCTGTGAACCCCCACATGCCTTCCTGAAGAAGGCGGACAGCACGTGCTCTGTGGATATGTTCGCCCTGTGTCAGAGCCCTTGCCCATGTGGGCAGCTCCATGGCGCTCAGGTAGAGCACTGTGCAAGGAGTTCTAGGTTCTCAGCCCGGTCCGCCACCAACCCACTGTGCGACAACCTCTGCTTCCCCATCTGAGGC